AAACAGAAATGTGTGAGCATCCAGCCTCAATTTTGCATTGCCTTGAAGCATTAAAATTGAATTTTATAGAACCACTGTTCTCTCTATTCATTTTATCAGTCTTATCATATGTAGAGATCATCAATGTACGTGAAATGTTAATTAAGGAGAACAACTTGTCTGAAGAACTGTAGCTTTAGAAATATCACTTTCTAAGAGTAATAATTACATCACAGAGACATTGTCTTCTCTCTATTTGTTTTTAAATGGTTCAACAACCAATTCTGATTTGGTGAAATATACTAAGAGAAAACTCCCATTTTATTAAAAGTACACTTGATTATTTTTTTTATTGCTGATCCATATTACATTTCTTCTAAGCTGAAAAATAATGAATTAAATTTTTAAAAAATCTGACTTTTTAAACTTTTAATAATATATTAGCAAACTTTAAACATCCATAGTACTAATTGTTTTATTTATTAGATCTGATAAAAATTAACACAAATCCACTGACCTGAACTTTGTATAATTGTTTGCTAAAATATGCATGCAGCTTCTCTTTTATTCTGGGTTTTTTTCATAATGTTCAGTCTAAATAGCTTTATTTCATCCAATTATAAAAGAATAATTAAACCCCCCAAACAGCAAAAACAACAACAAAACACCTTAGCAGCAGAAAAAATTGAAAATTATCTGTATATTAATTGCCAAATTTATAATAAATTCTGAGAATGAGTTTATTTTAAATCTTGTATTGAAATCCAAAATCAGTGTCGTTTCTCAAAGCTTCAAATTTCATTGCAAATACCTGATATTGCAAAATGTAATGCATATTAAAAGTAACACTTGCTTTGAGGGTTCTATTAAACATTAATTTTGTATCTTAAATTTAGATACAGTTCTTAGAGTGTACATATTTAACCTGACAAGATTTTCATTCCAACTATATCAATTGAAACAGCCTATATTGAATTATTGTGAGGAAAATGTCAAACTCTAGTCACCCACTGCTGATGCTGATGTCACTCAGGCAGTACTACAAATTGGCTGAAGCATGAAATTTCATGTCCCAGATCTGTGCCAAATCTTACCTGGACCTGGTCTCAGATCAGAATTTTCATCCTGAACACGAGACTGTGTTTCTGTATTCATGAGGTAAAGATCTCAGTGCTAAGGGATAATCTCAAGGTCTCTCTACCCTACTAACCCGAAGAGCCAAGGCAGGGGGTGAGACACTGGCACCTGTGTCCTGCTGTTTTTCACAAGTTCTGCATGGTTATATTTCATGTGAACTTGGAGAATCCTGGGACACTCCTGAACACCAGGAACTGTTTTCACAAAAAGTGCAGATGAGGCAAGTGTGTCCAGGAGGCTGGTACCTGTGACACACATTCCTAGAGGTGACCTAAACCAAGACCTGGAACATTTAATCTACTCCCATAGACACAGCCTATGTGATACAAATTTGGTCCAGTTCATCAGGGCATTTCTAGCATATTACCAAGGGTGAGTTGAACAGAGCTAATGCCAGATTTCTGATTTTATGCCAGTTTTCTAACAGCTGGGAGAGGATATACAATACCTAATCCCATACAGGCTTTAAGTGAAAATGTCCTTAAAAAATGTTTGAAATGCAATCAAAAAAGCCAACTTGTACCAGTTAATGTTGTCTTACATGGAAAGATCATTCCTTATCCTGTAACAAATATCCTAAATTGAGGGGACTGTTTTATTTTGTTTTGTAAACTCATAGCCTGAAAACCTTTTTCCAAGTGAATATTTTGTGAACATAAATTCTGTGTTTTGTTTGTTCTCTTCCAGTCCTATTTCCAGGCTTTGTCCTGCAATCCAAAGAAGAATTTTTCAGCAGGAAAGATGAATGACCTGTGGAAATTATAACGTATTTTAACTTGTACAGTTAAAAAACCAAATTGTGGCAAACCAGGGTAATATGAATATTTTTATAAACAGAACTATTCTATACATAAAGATCGATTCTAAATTCATCACTATTCAGAAAACCAATTCATATATAATATAGACAGGTTTTGTTTATATTTTCCTATTCCAATTTACCCTCAAATAAATAACCCTCAAATAATAAATGTATTAATCTAGAGACCTTGAGGAGAGACTCCCCACCACTTCAAATTATAGTCACTGTGTCTTTTAGTCTCTAAATATATATTTTATTATAACATTCTAATAATAAACTAAAAGATAAATAATTATTTCAGCTGAGAAAAGCCAGCACTATTAAGCATTAAAAGTAAGTGAAAGTTCCCTCTTCTTCACCTCTGTCTTAAAAAAAAAATGTTCTTTCTTCAAACTTGGAAGAGCATCCAGGGTTAAACCAGAATGTATCCTGAGGAAGCAAGTGGGTTTCATCTGAGCACTTACCCCGCTTTTCATGCAAAGTTCTATATGGGCCATTCACACTCTACTTTGAAGGTACCAATATGATAAATATCATTGAGAAACCTCACATCTTTTGAGTTATTCTTGTTTCATGAATTCATGGGTCTCAGAGGTATGACTAATAGCCAAACATGCAAAGAATTCTTCAGGTGACTGTGGCTGCTAACTTTATGTTTAGAAGTTGGCAATGCTTCTCTTGAACCTACTGATAAAGATGCTGAAATGTCAAAGAGAAAGGATAAGCCAGATTTAGTATAATAATTATGATTTCAAATTATATTAACTCATCATTCAATATGTCTTCATTCAAGACAAAATATCTTTTATCTTGTTAGATTAAAATCCACACTGCAACAAATATTAATAACCTAAATGTAACATTTTTACCTGAAATTAAATTAATCACAGAAGACATAAGTACATAGAAATTATTAGAAGTCTTTATATAGGAAGACATTACCATAGAACCCCTATTGTAAGGTGCAGTAAAGATGAGAAGTACTTGCCAGTACGTTTGGGCCTGTGAATAATAGTTGGACAAATTAATGTGTCAATTTCTACAAGAATCTCTTTGCTCTTTCTGCTGCTTCTCAGCTAGGGCAATGACCATGCTGGGCCTCTGGTGCTTGTTGACAGAAGAGTCAGTGTTCCATGAAAAGGTACAATTGCCATAGATGGTGATACACTGAAAAGATTTTAAGAGATGCAGTATAGCAGATGAGAATAGAGAAAAAATATTCATAATTTCTGGTGTGTTTGTTCATGAGAATGGTTTGTGCTCTTAGTTAAGTAGGAATATATTTACCAGAGGTATAAATATCTAGATTTTTGCACCTAGTATAAATAACTAGATTTGACTATGGGAGAGATGAGTATGACTAAGGATGGGATAACTAGCTACTAAGATTAAAAAAAAAAAAACAAAGAGTCACTGAAAACTAAAATGCAACATAACAAATCTTAAGAGTTACTCATAACAAATCTAAAGAGATATTAAATGGACAAACTTTGCTATTATTCTGCCTCGTAGATGCATTTCACATTTGCATGCAACTTTATTTTCACCTTGCTTAGTTGGGAAATGCAAAAACTGTATTGAAGAGAAAAATAAAACATAAAATTAAAAAAAAATTAATAACTGTTTATTCAAAAGCTGAGAGAAAACAGAAATGATGGATCTGTTGCCTCTTCTGTATTCTTACTGATTTCCTTTAATTTGTATGTAAAGAAAATAAATAATTTATAATTTAATTGTTGTACCTCAGAAAGAAATATCACAATGAAAATCATTATTCTGTCTAGCATGTTTTCAAGTTCCTTCTTCCCTCTACTTCTTCACCTTTTAAGCATCTAATTACTGTCATGTTCAGTATGAGTTGCATTGTTATTGTGATTCCTCTGTGTTTTCAAAAATGTGTGAAAGCACATGAGGGGCAAAAGTATCTGTGAACATGTCATTCCAGTTGATAACCTTTCAAAGGGAAAGCTGCATGTGGGGGAAGTATTTTTTCTGTTTTACCTCTGAGTGCTTGCACTAAAAATTGACACTACCTCACTGAGTCAATTTTCCTTGTAAAAACCTCTCAACTGAGTCTCAATTATGCTCTTTTGGCTAATATTTACTTGCTCCTCACCGCCATTTGAAACACTGGTAATGCATCTGTCTGCTGTAAGCAGACCTTTGTACACTTTATATTTATAGTTTTTTGCTGTGATTTTAGAATTTAAACAGAAGATGATATGCCCTGTTACTGAGGCTTTGATAGTAAGAAGATCTTTAGCTGCTTTTCCAAGGAATTCTGGACAGAAAAAATAAAGCAGTGTCATAATCAATATTCTTGATTGAAGACTGACTAGACCTTTGGCCTTCTGTCATACTCTGCTCCTTTGCTTATCCCAGTGTAAAACCCTCCTTTCACAGCAGGGCCATGTTGAAGAAGCACTAAAGACCACACTGGGATGTGTACACTTTACTGCAGCAGCAGGCTATTTGGAGGCTGTCTCTCTCAAGCCACAATAAAAGCAATGGATAGGAGGAAGAGGTAAATAGAGGTGAGGAGGAGATAACTGGGTCCAAAGATCTAATGAAGTCTCAGTCCTTTAAACTAGCTGAAATAATTTGTTTCTGGAAGAAGAAATCTGCCACTGCTTCTGAGTCAGACAGAAATTCCATCAGTAGCTGGAGAGGATTCCAGCCTGTTTTATCTCTGAGGTAGAGATTTGCTGTCCCTGTAATTTTGCCACTCTGTGTTACTGTCTGCTTTGTCAGTGATAATACTGACCTTGAATTTAAGCTTACACTTCTTGAGGCAGAATGGACAACTCAGGCTGCTCAGTCCTAAAAATTGCTCAGTCCTATTCTTCTATTGCAGATACAGTAACATGTAGCTGCTCTCAGGATTTTCGATGACTTCCCACTTGCAGGCACAACCAAAGACTGCAATGGCATGAAAGACCCTGAGGGGAGTAGGGAGAGTTACAAGGACATTTTCTATCTTGGTTCATTCATAACTTAAAACAAGCTCATATAACAATCCATGGATTTTGAAATAACCTTGTTACAAATTCATTCCTCATGTATTTTAATTCATTTAGAACAGTAATTATAAATATTCCTCTTTTCTGTTTCATTTAATATTCATTGATTTTGTTGGGGTTTTTTTAAATCATTTTCCATGGAATATGTTTAGCTGCTTTTTATGCTTATCAAGCTGGACCAAAGGTGAAAAACAGGAAGCAAAAACCTCTCTTAATTTCTTGCAGTAAAATTAAAGAAATGCAGGAAGGTAGACATCCTAATAAATAGTCTATGGAAAATAATAATATTCTATTGCCGATCTACATGATAACAAGGTTCTGATATCTTAATTTCGTGAAGAAAAACTTAAATCTCTAACTCATTAAATTACATCTATGATTTCAAACTGTATGTGTCTCTGTCAATAAGTGTGTGTACATCAGTTCTCTTACAACTCTTAATTGTTTCTGGCCAGGAATTCTTCAGAAGAAGTCCACTATTACTGAAAATAATATTGTTGTAATTCCCTCAAGTCAGGCAATGGCCCCTTGGGAAGAATAGCACAGAGTTCTAAAAGGCAGAAAAACAGTCAATATATTAATAGCCACAATTTTTTTTCAGACATTTTAAATAGAAAAGCTGTGTCTGCACATAACCTATACCTGAAATGATAAGTGAACAAGCCTAGACTTATCTGAAGATTTTGGTAATGTCTTGAAGCATGTCTGCATAACACCACAAGACTTTTCTGTCAACTCTCCACCAAATCTTTCATTGCCAAAAGAAATAGTGAAAAATTGTACAACTATGTTTTCATAATTAATAGAACTTATTTCCCTCCAAAGATAAAATATCTTGAAGTTTTCCATGTGATGACTGATATTATGGTCTATAAAACAGAACTTGGCGTCTAAGTTAAAAGTGGTATCAAATTAAGAAAAATATGTAAAGCACAATAGAAAACAAAATGGATGAAAACTGTTGCTCATCTTCATTAGAAAATAAACAACCAAACTGACTAGGTCAATCAGCATCTGAGAATAAGAGAATGGAACACTTTCTAGGTGCTGCACCATCTGAAAGCTGCTATCAGTAGTAAATGCTAACATCTCTTGGCAAGAATAACTTGCAACTTTGAAGCCATATAAATATGAAATTTGGATAAATGAGAATATGCAGAACTGTGCTAAGAAAGCCAAGGTAAATATCAGCTCCCCAACAACACTTCCAGGAAAAGGAGTAATAAATCTGTCTAAAACAAAGGACAAAAAAGAGGTAAAAAGTTGCATCACAAGACACAAGAGGGGATATGTGAGTAATATGACTAGAAACAGAAACAGCTGCTGTAAAAACATAGTAAAATACTTTATCAACTCAACAAGATCCTAAGTGGTTAATTTACATTAGCTAAAGGATATACTAGCAAAAAAAAAATAGAAACTCTACAAAAGACTACCATGACATAAATTTGTATACTTTTCTAAGCTTACTCTTCATTTTCATATGAAGTCCAAGTTTCTTGCCTTCACTTTCAAAGCTCTGTTCATAGCATAACCTCCTCTTGTTTCAGACTTTTAATCTATAAATACTCTGAAATTTCTCCAGTCAACCTCTCTTGTCTACACATGAGACAATTGAAAAAAACCCACCTTTATCTCAGCCCCATCCTTTACTCAAATATGGAGGAGTTCTGTGCAAGTGCTGTGAAAAAGAATTTTTCTTTTCCTCCTTATTGCCCAAGATGGGATTAAGCTCTATCAACAAAAATCTTTACAGACAGTAAACTACTTTTTCTTAAACACCTTTGATATTATCTTATTAAAAAACATTTATGTAATCACAAAAATTCCTTATTTACTTTACTACTTTGTGCCACAGGTAGAAAATGTACCATTCTTTTTTCTTTAGACTTTCTTTGCCCCTGAAGATTTTTCATTATTAACTGTTTTTTAAAAAAGTTAAAATATATTTTCAATCTTTCTACAAGTGTCATGTTTGCTAAATTTATCAATTTTTGTTGTTTTTATCCATATTAGCTCAGGCCAATGCACATCTTCTTGTAACGTAAGGCCCAAAAGTGGACATGATAACAATGTTCAACATTTTGGTTCTTACTTCTATTTTCTTGTTCTGCAGGGTTTTGTGGAGGTTTTTTGTTTGTTTTGTTGGTTTTTTTTTTTCTTTTTTATCCTCTTCCTTCCCCCTCCCCAAATTCTCAGTGAAGTTTACCTGCTTTGCAAGAGCACGGGCTTTCTGATTCTTTCTCAACTCATAGCCTAGTTCATAATGTAATTAACTGAAGAATTTCATTGGCTTTCTAATTACCTATTCCTTGAAAACTATTACCTCTGAACTTGATTTTTTTTTCAACCATTTTCAAACTGTTTTAATAAATATAGATTGGATTCTAATTCCACTCTTCATTGTTCTTACACTTGCTCACAGTTTCTTATCTGCAAAGGCAATAAGACTATTCATCATTTAATTCTTCATTGAAAATAGTGAATTCATCTAGACCCAGTGCTGACCTGGTATAGTATCCTATACATAACCGCTCTGGAATGAAATAACTTTTTACTCCTGCTTCTTTATTGTTGATTTGGCTACAGCTACATTATAGGCACCACATGGCTTATTAACAACAATAAACTAACATTAGATAGATTTTTCTGACAATAGAGACCAAAATAAGAGGTCAGAAAAACAAAGATGAAAATATTACCCAATAGTCTGCTTAACAGGATGGAAGTATGAAAATAAAGGAGGAATCCAATAAAATTTCACAGTTCTGATTTCAAATGTTAAATTAGAAAAAATATGAAGCAAGTGTATTCTCACACCCAGAATAACACGTATGCTGATAGGAATGTACAGAAAGAAATAAAATCAGAAAGCTGATATGAGCAGTTTAAGTAAAATATGTGTAAGAACTTCAAGTCCTTTTACTTTCCTTCTCAAATAAATAAATTCAGCCTTATTGTATATTTCTGAAAGCTACAAGTTTTTCAAAGGTATGTAGATAGATGTCTAAATGGCTATGAAAATAGATACCTCCTAGAAAAGAGATACTAAAAGACATGAGATAATTACAGCTGCTGAGATATGTCAAAGAGTTTTTCAATACTTCTCTTTACTGTTATCCAGCATAAGAGATTGAAATATTTTGACTGTGTGTTTAAAGTAAATGTATGGAATCTGTTATAACAGGTGCAATTTTGGGCATCTGGAGGAAGAAACATAACTGCCATTTTAAAGTCTTTATTGTAACTCAGTTTTGTGTGGCTTAATGGCATATAGATATGCTATCTATACTCAGCTAGAAACAAACACAGCGGAATTTTGTTGGGAGCAGAAGAAACTTCCAAAAGAACAAAAGAAGAAACAAGCCTGAATTTTTCCCTTCCCAGCTGGGTCTTGCCAAGGGGCTGCCTTTGATCCTCCCATGAGCTTACAGCTCAGAACAATGAGCTCTTGTGTCTCACAAGGAAAGAAGGTGAAATTCCTCACTGTAACCACATGCCATCAGAGAAATGTAGGATGTAGTAGTAAGGTACTAACAGTCAAAGGGATGTTGAAACTGCTTCTCCTCTTTCTAATAAATTTATGGATTTTTTTTTTTTTTGTCCTAGTTCAGCCTCTGTGTTTTCAGCTTTTTCAAATATACCCTACATATTGAATTAGAAGGTTGAACTGAACTAACTGCTGTGCATATTCTGGTTTAGCACTATACTAAAACATCTGTTTCTGTGGTTTAACTCTGCTTTGCCTAATAGGATCTCTTAATCATACTATTTGCTTTTTAAAGGTTTCTTATCAACAATAGGTTTTCACTCAGGACTCTCAGAACAATTCTGTCACACATCCACAGCAGCTGGTCAGATTACTCCAGGCAAGCTTTGCTCTTTGTAACTGTGTCTGGATTGCATTGCAATGGGCTTCACCATCCAGCTGGAATTAAATTAACTGTTGAGGTAATACTTGCATTATGGCATTTCATGATTGGCAGCTCACTTCTACAGCATAACACTTTGAAGCAATTCAGCTTTAGTAAAATTATTTTCCTCTTCAAAAGTGTTTTAGGCATTATTTCAAATGCCCCTTTTCTTAGTTAGACGTCTCTGGGTCCTAAGACTCTGTATATTGAAGTTTGTTTCCATTTGCCCTCTTGAAAGTAGGATTTGATTATATTCTCCATATAATTTATAAAATTTCTTGTGAACTAAGTGCACTTAATTTTACCTTTCCCATAGTTTCCTGACATTGTATATTATAAAGTGAAACTGGCAAGAGTTCTTTTTCATCTGTTATGTCTTTTGTCTGGACTTTCTTATTTTAATTATGCACATTTTCTCTAAGCACTGCTTTGAGCATTTCTCTGGACTTTTCAGCCATATTTGCTGTTTAAAGACATTTCTGTGGAGTTTCTTTCCAATCCACCTTGAAGATTTTAATCACATGTCCCACAAATAAGTCTGTCTCTAGTTAGCAAGTCTGATTCCAGTGTTGTGTGTGGATGCCAGAGTTCCCAGCTGCATAATGGTAATATTGGTTTAGGATGTAAAAACATGTTATCATATTCCAATTTCATTCATTAGTAGGTCATAATCCTCAGGAATTTTTATCTGCTATTCCAGTGTTTCAGGCACTGTCCTTAGTCACAGCATCTCACTCAGATACACATTCTTTTCCCTTCCCAATGAGGTTTTAAGGAATTATTTTCATTTTCTTTTATTTTTTAATGGCCACCTTTTCACACATGATCAGTTTTAACTTTGCACTGACAGGTTTTTATTTGGAAACATAGTAGTCATGGTTTATGTTTGTGCTGACCATTCTGATTTCAGTCATACTTTGTATGTGACTTGGCTCTCACAGACATAAAACAAACATACACTTTTCCCAGACCTATCCTGTTTTTTCAGGTGAATTATGGTTTCTCTATGAACATTTGCAGATGGGAACCTCCTACCCAGATATTGGACATTCAGAAATCCTGCTCTCATAGATGTCTGGCAAAAATTTTATTCTATGTACACTCTACTACTGCATGTCTATGTACAGTAAATTCAGTATAATTCAGGAATAAACAGAAAAACTGTGCTGTGTGTATTCTCTGGGTGTTTTCTGACACCTCCTGGAAGAAGAAAATATTCTTCTCCTTTCCACCTCCTTTCAAGGGCTGCTAAAATTATTTCTCATATTCTCCTCAACTATTCTGAATATAGAGCAAATTCTATTCAAAATGGAAGTGTTGGTATTGAATAACTCTATGATGAAAACACACTTATGTTTTACAAAAAGTTATCCTTTATTAAGACAAGTATTTAAAAAGGTAAATAACTGAAACTGTAATCAACACTTTTTTTTGGTTTCTCAGGCTTCTCGAAGTTCTTCCTTGTGCAAGCTGGGATTTTGCAAAATTTCAGTGTATGTTGCTACTTAAAAGCAATTATTTGTTTTATTTTAATATGTTTAAAACAGTTGTAAGTCAAATAGTTGTACTGTATAAGCCTTGATTTATTAAAATACTTTTTAATCAGCCAGCTGTATTTGTATATATGTGTGTTTGCATATATGGTGGTTTTCAGTAATCTTAAATCTGAGAAGAATTAGAGAAAAAAAAACTAAAAAGTAAAAACTTGCATTTGGCTGAGATCTATAAAATAAATTACTTTTAAGGAAGTGTCAATCAAATACTTAAAATTCCCTGATTCCTTAGGCACATCATCTCATTAAGTTTATTTGTAGGATGATAGCTTTGAAGTGGCCCTAGTTATTTAAGGTATTTCTAGTGCCTCTGGCTCGATTCTGTCAGCTCTGTCATTTCACAGTCTGCCTCGAACTCTAATACAAGATAATCAATGAAACTAAAGACCTCTTAGGAGCAAATGGCTAGACAAGAAAACAATCCCTTGTTTTGGCTTGCTGTTATAAACTGTTGTGCTCTACAACACAGCAAATCAGTCCCCCACTGCGAGTTAGAGGCTTTGTTAAAATAAATTCCTCTATGATGTGAATGTTATTTCAAGCAGAACATACAGACATATATGAAATTACAGACTTGAAGATAAGAAGCTCACTAGGAGAAAATACATGTCTCAGCTTAGCCTGATTTCAAGATAGCACCTTGGACATTTAGGATTAGATTTAAAGAGGAATTGTGCTCCAAACCTGGACCCTGCTTAAATGATTAGGTAGGAGGTATAAACTTATAAGTTTTGTTCAAGGTCAGTAGAATCAGTAGGTATATTTTTTCTTAAAATATCTGCAATGAACACTGAAGTTGACTTTAAAGACTGCATAAATTTTCTCCAGAAACAATAATACTGAAGGATTAAAAAAAAAAAAAAACTAAACTAAATAAAACAAAACAAAAAAAACAACGAAAAGTCACACACAAAAAAAAAATCTACAAAAAAATCCCAGCCCATTACTTTTCTTGGAACAGATGTAAATTTTTGTTGCTTTTTTTGATATGAACATATTCATGCAAATGCTAACAAAATTATTAGCACTGAAAACTTCTCAGGCATTTCTTTTGACATGCACTTATTTGCTGCATATACTATGAACGGATCTCATTACTTGATTTCAAATAATAATTTGGCTCAGCCTATGGGTTGCTTATCTTTAAGTACAGTTGTGCCAGCAATGTGAACTCTGAGAAAAAATTTTAGAAAGAAAGAGAAAGATAGATTTGTTTTCTTCCTAATAGAGTAATATTTCTTTGCAATGAGAGGTTACAGTTATATAGCACTTTTAATTTCTAAGAAATCTTTTGTGCTTGAAAAACTGTGTGCATGTATGAATCATTTCACAGAAAATTTTCACCCAACACTGAAATGAAATCTACATGGCAGGTGCTTCAACAGTATGGCATAATAATTTTGGAAAGGAAGAAGGAAGGAGAGTGCTAAAATAAAGCTTTACAAAGAAAGAATGTGCCCAGCCATTCAAACTGGAATATAAAGATGGTTGACCTGTTTTTAGTTAAAGCTTTCCTTGTGAAGAAGTCACATGAAAAGATACCAAATAATTTTGATGAAAAGCATTCAAGCTATATATTTTAAGCTTTCCATCTAATCAGTCAAGCTGGTTCTTTTGGCACTTAACACTAAAAGAGGTAATATATATAGAGAGATAAAATTTATAAGCAGATAAAAACAAATGATTGTGAAGTACCCTGTCAGTTATTTGAAATGAGAAATTTGCCAACAGCATTTTAAGAAGAGATACATCTCCTCAGGTTTTCTGTGTATAGATCTCATGGTCAAATACTATGGCATAAATTTCTGACAGCCTGATCAAAATAGATTGTTCTTGGCATTTTCTATATCTGAAGCAAAAGAAACACCATAAACAAGCCTTTAAGATTACACTGCTTCTCATCATGGTATTCAGCAAAGATGCAGAATCTTTGTTTGAGCTGTCACCAGGACATTCCTACTGCCAGAGCCTGATCTGCTGAACATGTGGATGCCAATGGCAGGGCTCCTACTCTCTCTCTGGCTCCAGGACAGCATCCCCTCAGGAAATCAGCAGAGTTTCTCTTTCATTTGCTGCGTGTTTGCTACTGAGTAAATAAACATACATTGATCAGTCAATAGAGAATATCTCCTTTTCAAGCATTAATTCTCATGATACACCTAAGACTATAGCAAGTATTTAATATAGTGATTCCACACAGAAACAACAGCAGACACATAAAAGTGAAATTAGGCTGGAAATAAGAGCACTTGCCACTGAGAACAAAATCTAAGAATGCTGTTTAGTTACAATTCCCTGTTGTAGCTAGCAGGCAAATTTCTTATTAAAACTATGTAAACCTGAAGTAACTTGATTTAAACATTTTCAGGACAATTCTATCCCAGTGAAAACTGCTTAAATGTTAACTTGCTAAATTCCATTAAAGTTTCACTATATTACACATTTTATATAGGTCAATTTAAATAATCTTTTTTTTCAAAGAATGCTATGACTGTGCATACCACAGCACAATCAATAAAACATATCTTTTTTGCTTAAGACATACAAATAATTTATAATAGTAGCTGGCAATACAACTTCTGCAAAGCAGGAAGTGAAGTAGGAATCTTGATATTATTTTAGTTAAAGAAAAATATTTACATCATTTTTGTTTCTTTTCTGTAAATTCTTAGTCTTCTTTTAGTGTCAGAAAAACAACAACAACAACAACAAAAAGATGCCATTACTGGAAATTTCTGTCTTACTGTGTAAAGCTACCTGTCTGAAAATAGACCAGGAAAAGTTTATAATACTGGTCTGGTAAACTAAAGATGCCAGTTGTTAATATGTATGATCAAGATAGATTATAAAATAATAAAAATAGTTTGTACTTTGCAATTAGATTAAGCGTATTTGTATTTCAAACACAGATTCAGTTTTCATTGCTGAAGTGGGAACGAGAATTGCAGCAGCAGTTTGAACTTCAAATCTAATGGAAAACATTCACAGCTGACTACACACGCAGCCAGTTATACAAGATGAGCTTCCTAGTAGTGCAGGTAATAATGAGGTTTGGATCTACATGGAAAAAAGATGACGGTTTCAGGTTGTGCTGTCACCAAAGTGCTTCTGCTCTTGAAGAGACAGAGACAACCTCTTGTAGTGCTGTAGCTGGATCTGTTAACACTAAAGTATCATGATGAGAGTATCCATAATATTTGAGATAGTAGGGACTGATTTCTCCTCCTGAAATCTTTGTTGACCATGAAAAGACTAATCTAATTAGCTGCAAAACATCTGAAAAGCTATTACGAATGCACTTGTAACTTAGAAGAGAGAGTTCTACAAAGAGTTACTTAGAGAAAAAGGTCAAAGGTCACAGAATATTCTCCATTGAAAGGGACCCACAAGGATCATTGAGTCCAGCTCCTAGGTGAATTGTTGCGGGATCTAACCCACAACCTTGGTCTTATTTGGACCATGCTATAACCAACCGAGCTAATCTCATTACATATCAGTATTTTTTTATTAGATTCAAGTAAAACAGTTTCCAAGGATGATTAAACAATTTTAAAATCCTTTTTCTCTTGGAAAGAGTTGGGAAAATTATGTCTTCAGGTTCTTGTTATTCTGTTCTGTGGTTTAGTGGCAAGCCTTTTGCTATCATAAGAGTATTTAGATAAAATGCTCTTTCCTGATTGTTTATTCAGGTAAATCAATGCAGTCTATAACTCATATTTTGACTCCACATGAAAAAAAAAATGTGCTTTGAAATACAGGTCATTATGCTAATCTGAGGCATAAAGATAAATGTGGTAGTCTGTTATGTTACAGTTTGTCCTTCTGTAACATGTTTTAATATTCCTTGTTATAAGTTTGTTCTATGTACCCCAATTAGCTTCCCTAATGGTTCAGTCTGAGTTGCTTACCACAGTTTTCCCCACCAAAATGTTTGTCAATCCACGTGTCAATCCACATGTCAGTGTACATGTACACCTCCTTTGTTCCCTTGTCTCACCCCTGTCTGTCAAACATAGCACACTACTTTGGTTCTGGAGAGTTCCCTGTCTTTCATCCCTTCTTTGGAGCAGAATTGGGTTGTGAGATTTGCTCCCTCCCTGTGTTGGTTTCTATTGGGGAGCCCTTATCCTGCACCCCTCCCCTAATGCCCTCCTATTGCTCAAAGGTTGTGTCCTCACCGTGTTCCCCCATCCCTTAAAAGCATCCCCTTCAGGTTCAGATGTGTCACTTGCTCTGCCCCCCTTCGGGATTAAATTTCTGGAGACTCAGACAAGTGTCCTTCCCTTATTCCTGTGCCTCAGTTTCCCCGTGCTCTGTGCCCTGCTGCGCTCCCCACGCCGCAGCAATCACCGCACCCGCACCAGGCTGGGCACAGACTCGGCGGCCGCTCACGTGTGACCCTGCGGCCACAGCGGGACAGCGGCCGGGAACCTCCATCCTGTGGCTGCTGAGAGCCAGGAACAGATAAAGTGGAAGGGGGAAAAAAAGGAAATACTCCTCTACAAGATTCTGAAATTGGTCTCTATTGAAGCATATTGAAGCATTTCATGATTTCCAGCAAGACTCTTTAGAACTTAATCTCTCAATCAAGTATACGTGAAATTGGAGAAAGTCCAGCTGACCTACATCATGCAGCAGATAGGTGCCTTTCTTAGAAAATGGAGACTAGATTAATGTGTGTCCATAGCAGGTTTTTGATTTATCTTAAGAAGGTGTGTAAATACCATTAAAATAAGTCTCCTGGCAGATGACGTGTCACTCACACATAATCATTTTCAGTGACACTCTCAGAAAAACGTCACCAATAAATATTATTTTGTAAATCAAATTGTGTTAAACTTTCTGCTCACATTCAAGTGACATAAATAGAACTATGGGATTTACATAATCCCACTAATTTGCACAATTAAGCCTCATTTTTGATTCTTTTAAACTTTTTAAGCAACTCAAATTTCTGACATTTACAGAAAAATGGTGATTTGTTAGGTATAAGGCAGAGAGGTGCAGTGGAATCTACTTCACTGTGTGAGCCAGTGCACTGGTGTTCTACCCTTGA